AGCAATTAAGAAATGTAGAATAACCTGCAAGCATCTACTCTGATATTTTTCCATATCTGGGGACAAGGGAAAGATCTCATTAGGCCATTTTGCTATGGTTGTGTAGTGATGGCACAGATTCATTTGTTGGCTCCATAATGTAGTTTTATGATCCAGTCAACTATCTTTAATAAACCCCACTCAATGGAATAGTTTAAATAATAAATTCCTTCTCAAATTAAATCTTATTTTCCTATAGTCCACCTACAAATGTCAGAAAATGTAATTTGTCCAATATACTCAAATGCTTATAGACTGAGCCAAGACAGCTAACAAATTAACCGTAATAAGATTACCCATTTGTATCAGTCCTAGGTTATGTAATGACTTCACAAATACCATAAAAGGCAGATTATTTCATAATTATTCTGATGTGAAATGTGAATAATCTTACACAAATATTAAGCCAAATATTTAAATAAACCCATAAAAATCAACAGATTTGCCAACTGTTTAAAATGGATTCCAAAATTGAACTATATAGTTATCTGTTTAATGTTTAATATAAAGTCATATAACTGATGATTAGCCATACATTAATGCCAAGGGCAGCTTAAAATAAATGATGTTCAGCTGTCATTTAAAAGCTTTGCCTATTAATTTTTATCTATATCATCCATTTTAGGCAATTAAAATCTTTTTGTAATATAAGAATCCTAATTTAAATATAAGACTTAATAAGAAAATGTGTATTATTAAAAAAATAGAGCAAAAAACACTATACCCAAGATGAGCACTGCCAATTCCATTCATTATCATTAATGCTCTGCTTACTGTGACTATTAAAGAGAATTAAGAATATTCAAGGGCCTCCCCTGGTGGTGCAGGCGGTTGAGAGCAGCGCTGTGAAGCTGTCTGCAGCCTCTGCAGAGCCAGTTCGATCTCAGCTTGCTGCAAATCCCTCATGGCGTGGCAGACCTCTCCTGTCTCACTCTTCAGCAGTGTATTTCAGTCTGTCTGCCTGTTCTGTTGCCCGCATTGTCTCTGGTGAATCCTCTCACCCTCCTGCCTGTACATCTGGCCTGTACCCTGGTTCTTATATAAATAAATAAATCTTTAAAAAAATATATTCAGGCTGTTTCACATGTCCATTCATCTCCTAAATTATTCAGAGGATTTGATGAAGATAAAATTTTCAATGAATATACATATCTTTATCTAATTTCTCTTGTTTTCCATAGAATGGTCATGATTGAGTGTACATAAAAGAATGCTTCAGTAAATTTTCAAAATAAATATTCCACTTCATGAATTTCCACATTATTTCAATAGGTTGCAATGCTTTACACTTCTGAAATAAGCCCTGAATTAGAGGAAGAGAAAGAACTAAAGATGAAAAAATAGGTGTGAAAAATAAATCATCACAACAGTAGCAAAACAAAATGTAACTTTTCCTAGAGCTAACACAATATCCAGGAGAACTGATAGAGAAGCCAAACCTCCAGCCATCAGTCTGATTTGCTAGCAAGCATTTCAATTTAATAGCAGCAGCAGATGGCATTAGAGAAATGTTCAGGGCTCCCAGGACCTATCTAATATGAAACTGCACAGGAGAAAAAAAAAAAAAGCCATACATATTGTTTATCCAGTGAGTCACAAATTTAGAAGATTATTAGTATGCAATCTAAGATGGACTTTCAGAAGCCATTTTATCAATATGAATAATGCCCTTGGCTAAGTAATCTTTGTACCCTCTTAGGAGAAAGCTAAGCCTATCAAAACATGTTTATTAGAATCTACAGGATAAGTTGAAAGGATACAGGGCTCAGAGTCATATTACAATAATTATATCCTTTGCTAATAGTACATATTTACCTGAGAGGAGAATAGCTCTCTTACACGTGCGTGTTAACAACAATAGTAGTTTGCAAAGAAGTTGAATCATCAGAGAAGACATATCCAGTAAGATTTGTGAACTTGGTTTCACTGACTTAATCTCATAGAGTTTTTAGATGATCCAGTTTTGGGAAGGTAATTTGAGATAATTGTGTCATAGAAAAGAAATCTATAGGAAGCTTCCTTTGCACCTTCTGCTGGGGTACATATATCTTCCACAAAGTCCATATATTCGGAGTATCAAGTATATGATCAGGACCCCAATTATTTGGAAAAAAGAACTATTAACATGAAAGAAATAAGATTATCTTCCTTAAGGTAAAATATTTGGCCACCATACAGGAAATCTGAGCAGTTTAATTACCTTAAGGAGAAAAGGATAATCTCTGGTTTGAAAATTTGAATAAAATCTGACTGAAAATATAAACATGGCTAAAGGAAGAAAGTATCAATCCGAATGGAGAGAGATGGAATACTGGACATAAAAGCAGAGAAAAAGAGGATCAGAAACAATGTTAAAAGGACTAATCTAAGTTCTGTGTTCGTAGAGAAACTTAACCAAGGTGTTCTAGAATTTGGTTCCTACCACACTACCAATCCTGTGGAAATTAAAGACTGGGTTCACTCAGCACAATCATTCCATTCTTCCAGTAAACTTTATCCTGATTCCATGACTAGTTAGCACCCCATTACAGGATGCACAGCATAAAACCCAGAAGAGAGAATTTAAGCAAAAGAGGAAACAAAAACTATGGAAGTTCTTATACATTCAAATTCAGAGGGTAGAGATACAAGATGTGGTTTCAGTTTGAAAAACCCACCAAGGGTTTAAACCTAATGTCAACCATTACCTTATCCCACATATTTTTTGTTATCTTGATGTCTTTCTATAGCTTGGATGTCTGATGGTACTTAATATCTCCAATTTAAACTATTATGAAAATTCCAATATTTTTCTGCAACTCTAATCTCCTCCTCATCAAAGTTATATTCTGGACTGAGATCAAGTAACCTAGCAGCAAACAAAATATGTTAGTTCCACACCTAACAATCTCTGTTTGTCCCCCACAGACTAATATAAAATCTAATCTTCTCATGTGATATAAAAGATCTGGCAAATCTATTTATGGCCTAATACTTCAGGCTAATTCCTTTGTTCTTGTTTTTGTTTTATTGCCTCTACTTGGGAGGTTCTTCCCAAGACATTTCATTTGGCTCAGTTCCTCATCTCTTCAGGTTTGACTATTACCTAAATTAGCTTTAACTATGACCTTCTCTCACTCATTCAAATTACAGATCCTATTTTCCCTACCTACTTAGGATACTAATATCCAAAATCTCTCTCTCTCTCTCTCTCTCTCTCTTACTTATATACACACACACACACACACACACCCCTCATCAGGTTAAAAGCATGCCTGGCATGTAGTAAGTGCTCAATAAGTATTTGTTGAATAAATAATTATCTAGCACCTCTGATATGTCAGAGCTATATCAGGCCATATGTCTCCTTTGTTCTTACCTTAGTCTTCATGTCCTCAAAAATACAAATTGCTTGCTAATACCAAATATGTCCCATACATTTTCTCACACCTTGATGATTTGCACATGCACTTTGCATTAAAAATCCCCCCTCCATCTGATTGATATGTAATATATTTGTTCACTTAGCAAATATTTACTGCACGTGTATTAAAATGGTCAAGCACAGGGCCTGGAACTGGGACTACAGTAGTCATTAATATCCATGTTTCCTGCCCTTATGAGGCTGCAATTCCATTAAGGAGACTGTAGATTTTAACATGTAAAAAATAAACCAGTTAATTATATAGTATGACTATTACTATAGAGGAAATGAAAATGATGAGTTAGAAAAATAAGTTGATATGGTTGCTACAGTATACATGGACACACAGAGGCTTCTTTGTGCAGGAGGTATTGACACTAAGTTTTAAAAGTTGAAAAAGCAAAGGAAAAAAGGAGGGAATAGTAAGACATGGAAAGGAGGGAGGCTATGCAACAATCCTGGGATAATAAAAAGTTAGGTTTATATCATAGGAACTAAAAGAATAGCCTTGTGATTTAACTGTAACAAAAAAAAAAAAAGTGTGATGAACTAAGCTTGGATAGGTAAGCAAGAACCAAACAGCTATAGTCTTAGTGTTGTCAAGTTTATTCCCTGTTCTAAAGGGAAAAGAAGGCTTTGGAAGTTGAGAGCAGGTGAGAGATATAATTAGGTTTACATTAAAATAAAATTCTGAGTGCTGTGAGATACCAGCGACAACACTTTTGCCATGGTCCTGGTGAGAAATGTTGGTGGCTTACACTAAAGAAGTTGAAAAAAAGTGAATCAATTAATATCTATGTTTTCCTGTGTACTGTATGGAAGATAAAGGAAAGGGAAGTATTAAGAATAACTCTTAATTTCTTTGAGATTCTATATTCATCATGGTGACTTTGACCAAAATACAAAGACAGAGGAGTGATAAATTTTCAAACTTCTCCTCTGGTTATGTTTCATTATTTTGTAAGCTGAATTAAATCTTCCTCTAGTATCACACATTTTCACTGTATATTAGAATATTATTACATAATATAACAACATTTGTTTCTCTCAACAAAACAGCATTTTTTTTAAAGATAGTGACTGTATCTTAATCATAGTGTTTGTAGGTCTAGCATAGTATTCAGTACAGAGTGTAAACAGTGAATGAATGAATGAATGAATACACAAAAAGCTAGAACAGGTAAGAATCACATAATCAGAAATATGGTAGCTTACAATCTTCTTGTAGGTTCTATTACTTAAAGAGAACTTATATAGATTCAAAATTTTCTAAGGTTAACCAATTTTTTTAGTTAAACTCTAAATTTCTTTAAATTACACAATACTTAAAGTCAGTATGTGAAATTATTTTACTGTAGTCTGAATAAGGAAAATCAAAAGATGAACTTTATTTTTGAATCCTTGTAAGTTGGACAGCTAAGATTTACGTTGTAATCAATAAAAATCTAAAATAATACCTTTTAAAAGTTTTAGGGCATCCATTTATAACTCTAAATGTTAATCCTAATGCAAATTTTGGAAGATATTTATAAGATTCATTATTCTTTTTTTTTTCCAGAATGTTTGATGTAGGTGGACAGAGATCAGAGAGAAAGAAATGGATTCACTGCTTTGAAGGAGTTACATGCATTATATTTTGTGCTGCACTCAGTGCATATGACATGGTCTTGGTGGAAGATGAAGAAGTGGTAAGTCTAAGAGGCAAATAAAAGCAGGGTTAAAAAAAAAATCAAGTGTTTACACTTTCCAATGTTACAACCACATTTCTCAACTCAATAAAGGCCTTCCAAAGACAGATGTTATTTTTTGATCCTGTATAAAATGCTGAACACTATTTTACAAATAATAATCCTACATTCTCATCTTTATACCTAACAGAACAGAATGCAGGAAAGCCTTCACCTGTTCAACAGCATCTGTAATCACAAGTACTTTGCAACCACCTCCATTGTCTTGTTTCTAAATAAAAAAGATCTCTTTCAAGAAAAAATAACCAAAGTGCATCTTAGCATCTGCTTTCCAGAGTATACTGGTAAGATACTTTTCCATTAGTTCAATGATCATAAATTTTTATATATACATGTTTCCCAATCTGGATCTTAACATAATACTTATGAGCTAGAGGTTTATGATAACTTTTTAGTCCAGTGTATAATTCCAATTGGAAAAAAATCTAACAAGTAAAGGAACCCTCTGTACCGCCTGCAGTAAAACATAGTTCTAATGAATAAACAGGTGGAGGTTAGACAGACCACGGCTGCTACTCTATATAATGTATCAAACAACGTTGCACACTCTATTATCTTTTACATAATAGGGAGGCAAATAGTCAATGACTATAAATGTCAGGTTTTAGAGTAGGGTTGTTTTCCCCTTAGACAACTTGTTTCTTTTTTTGTAAATAGTTTTATGCTCTGTTGTTATTGAAATTGAGTTAGGATGGCAACATTTATGAGTTAACATAAATAGAAATCTAGTATCACCACTTAAATTCATGGGTGGCCTAGATGCTAGTCTGAGCAAGGCATTCTATCACAATAGATATCATGCATAATTAGTGATTATTTTTCTGTATTTATAGATATCATTAATTAAACAGGTTTATTTTTAGGTCTTTTTAAATAGCCTATTTTTAGAGCCATATTTACTGTACATAAAAAATAAAATGAAAATACAGAATTCCCATGTAGTCTATCTTCATTCAACTCCCACAATTTTCTATTTTTGATATGCTGCATTGGTTTGTTACATTCATTACAGTTGATGAGCAGACATTAATACATTATTAACTTAAGCCATTATTAACTAGGGTTGATTCTTTTGTCTATCGATTTTGCTAAAATGTACATCATGTATCTGCTATGACAATATTATACATATTAATTTCACTGCCCTAAAGATCCCTGGTGTTCTACCTATTAATTTCTCCAACCAGTCTTACAACCACTGGCAATGAAAGCCACTGATCTTTTTAATCTTATATAGTTCTCTCCTTTCAGAATGTCATGCCCGCAATCACAGTATGTGGCATTTTCTGAACAACATCTTTCACTTAGCAATATGCATTTTAATTTCCCCATGTCTTTTCATGAGTTGTTCACTTTTTATCACTAATATTCTATTCCATAAACAAACCTATTTTTTATCCTTTCATATAGTCAAGGACATCTTGATTGCTTCCAATTTTTTGTAATTATGAATAAAGTCACTATAAACATCCACATATAGGTTTTTTTGTGTGCATATGTTTTTTGTGTAAATACCTAGAAGTGCAATTGCTGGATGGTATAATAGGTCTATTTAGCTTTATGAGAAACTGTCTTTGCCTTCCCAAGTGACTGTTTCATTTTGTATTCCCACTGGCAATCAATAAGCATTTCTATGATTACACTCTTCATCAGCATTAAGTATTGTCCATGTTTTGGATTTTAGCAGTTACATTACATTACATAAGGATTGTCCCTCATGGAATTTTGCTCCTAGTTATAATAAATCAGGGAATAAAATGTTACCTCTTTGGAAAATATGTATGGTACTGCCCCATTCCGTACCAAGTCCCCACTGAACAGATTCTACTCTAAAGGTCAATCAATGTGTCACTTTTTAGCTGACCTGTATTTGTTAGCATTCCTATTTTATTTCTGCCTTCTCCCAATTGATCCATTGTGTATCCTGCTACTCAAGCATAATCTTCATTAGCTCTTCATTTAACTCCATCAAATAATCAGTCAAAAATAGTTCTCTAAAGTCTAATATATCCCATCTTAACTACTTCGACTAGTCCATAATCTGGTCCAAGCCATCTATTCTACTTGATTTCCTATAAATCTTTTTTAAAAATCTTTTATTTCCCTCTCACAAGATTCTTCATCTGCTTCCCAGCTCTACTCTGAAATCTAATGAATGATCCAGCCCATTCTCATTTAATTTCTGGTTATTCACTGACTGTTTTTCTTCTCTCCTGTAGTTAACCCTCAAGGTTTCGCTTGAATGACACCTCATTCTGTAGCCCATAAATCTGTATCTTCTATTTTTTTTCTTGTTTTAGTTCATAGTGATACACACACACACATGCTTTATTACTCACTCTGTATAAGTATTAGTATATATATTTACTGTATTATGAGCTTTTTAATAGAGATATTACAATTTAGCACCCTTAAGCCTCCAGTAGATTAAACATAGTTCTGACCACATAGTATATATTGTATAGACCCTTGATAATTCACTATTATCCTTATTTTTTGTAATACAAAAAATAATATGCCATACTCTGTATGAAGTCCTAGAACTTACTGGTATTAAACTTTTACTTTTTAAAATGCAATTTTTTTTCAAGGTCCAAATACATTTGAAGATGCAGGGAACTACATCAAGAATCAGTTTCTAGATCTGAATTTAAAAAAGGAAGACAAGGAAATTTATTCCCACATGACCTGCGCTACAGATACTCAAAATGTGAAGTTCGTGTTTGATGCAGTTACAGATATAATAATCAAAGAGAATCTAAAAGATTGTGGGCTTTTCTAATCAACCTGTTTTTTCTCCCACTCTTGTTCATGTGTGCTTTTCAAGACATAAAATGTGATGTGATTGGTTTAATTTGAACAGACATTAACTTTCTAGAAATAAAACTAGTGTTATGAAGCAAAATGTTTTCACTCAAGAAATTTAATGTATTATCACTTACATCTGATAGTGATATGAATTATTACAGAATTACCAAAATATCAATAACACTGAATTTGCTTGGAAATAAAGCTCTGTATTACGTCCTATTTTAAATCCGAGAACAATGAAAAATGCAGTATATCCCATATTTTTTGTATTAACCAAATTGTGAGAGACATTCATTTTTGCAGATATGTAACTGTGTCCATACTGTACAGACTATTCAGAGATGATAAATGTGGCATATTATTGGTTCATTACTCCTATTTAGTCAAATAAAACGCTCACTATACATACTTAAAGGGAATTTACATATGCCAAAGAAATGCATATAATTTTCCCTGCTACATTTTTCTCCTTAGAAAAATATTAAATTTGAATTTACCTTAGAGTTGAGGATTTCAATAATAAATCTTTACCCACCAACCCTGTTAAAAGCAAGGGACCATGTATGGTCAGATACACAGTATGAGGCTGCTCAAACTGAACAACAGTCCTCAATGGAGCACTCATGCTCCACATCTCATTCCAGACTCGTAGGGAACATTATTATAATTGAAAGTTGGGGGACAACAATCCTGGACTGCAAGAGAGAGAAATAATTTGATGTCTTAGTGTTTGTATGTTTTAGTTTTGTGAATAAGAAGTGGGAAGTAAGCAGTAATGAGGAGATTTTCTAAGAAACATTGTGCTTCTTTGTTAGTACTTTATGATCCATTCTAAATGTTACATGGCAAGCTAATTTGGTGCCTTACAAACCCAAATCATTACTCATGAAAAGATTTTTTTTTCTTTTGAAAGAATGTATGCACTTTCAAGCATCTCTATTTTTTACCCTCTATACATCTAGAAGGTGATATACAGGTCACAAGAATAGGTCAGTTCTTAAGATTTACAACTACTCTGAAAACAATTAAGTTTTTACAAGTTGGGAGAGATGACAGGAACATAAATTAAGCACATTGCCAGTCTGTAGCTCAGGCGCATTAGGTCGTTCTATCTCAATGTAGCCATCTTGTTGTTTTCCAACATATTTCCTTCCAGTCTAAACACACAAGAATGATCACTACTTAATACATCACCTTGAGTAGCTAAGAGTACGTTGGCTTATTTTCAAAAACAAAAAGGAGTAATCAGCAAATGAGATAAATAAAAATATAAATTAAATTAAGAGAATTAATTTGAAATTCCCTTGAAGAATATAGATTATTAAGAAGCCTAAGATAACAAGGACAGAAAGGCAAAATCATTTAGTTCAGTTTTCAAAAATATTTTGTAGCTGAGAAATAATATATATGACAACCCCATATTTTGATAGGAGACATGCAATGCAAGGTTTCAAATAAGATTACGAATGCTATTATTTCATCCATACCTTTGCATTTTTATTCTCTCATTTTATACTTTAACCTGTTCTTCTCCATCAGTGTAAAAAGATTCCAGAAGGGAAAAAGATAATTTTAAAAAGTGTTAGGATCATTATTTTTCAGATTTTGAGTCTTATCTTTGAGGTACCTCTTTTAGATAACACAGACACAAAGGATGGGGTCTAAATAGTTCAATTTGTCTATTAAAAGTAAATAAATTTTGATCTTTGCAAAAAAAAATGATAATCATTGCTATTTATGAAATGTAATGTGAAAACATTTAAGTATGCTAAATGATTAAATTTAAAATTAGAGCTAGGTTTGGTTTTTTTCAATGGTAAATTTCTTCCAACCCTACAATTGAAATTTTAGGTGATTTTCTTCATATTTAAAAACATCAACAGTTATGTTATCCAATAATTTTTAATTAAGGAGAATTTTGGAGAAAAAAAAGTTTCCATTATTGAATGCACGTGTGTGTCTACTTGTGATTTTACATTTTAATTTTTTAACATAAAAAAAGGTTGAAAAAGTGCTGATGCACAGCATTTGGGGATGAGGGAAATAACAAAATGGGAAGCACAGGAAGTTATTCCCTTAGCCTGGGGAGAAACTACCCCTGAGACCAGGGAGTTTGACCCACCGGAAGGACCAACAATAGAATTAAAACCCCTATTAAAATGAACCTTTTAAGTGTACAGTTAGTGCTTCTGATTTTACAGTCAGTGCTTCTCAAGGAAGCAGTCAGTCTTTGTCATTTAATGTTCAAATATGATTATGCTTTTATTTTCCTGTTCTTTTAGTTGAGATTTCTTTCTCTGACTCAGAATGTCCCCAAATTTGATTATCTTTTAGCACTCCCAAATCACTCATTTCTAAGATTTGTCTGATTGTAGACACACTGTGATACCTCAGATCTGGTGTAGGGTTTTATCTAACAAGGTAACTAATACCCAGTTGTTGAAAAACTTTTCCAGAAGCATGAACTGGTCAACAGATAAATCTTTGCATCTTGAGTTGAATGAAGTCAAGAATATTCACTAACACTTTTGTGTCAAAATACAAGTTATCCATGCCACAAAGAAGTTCTATGAAAAAGTGTCAAATTTTGTGGAGTCTACAATATACAACCATAGATATCAAACATTCTAAACAGTAACAAAATTCATAACCAAAAAACCACCGAATAGGCAACTATTTTTTTTTTTGTTTTAGGCTATGGACCTATCCTGATACACTTTTTCTTACTTGATCTATTATACCATTTGATCATAAAATATATTTTTAAATACAGCAGATAATCACTCAGACTTGTCTCAATCAAACATTATGTTTATGAGGAAAAATAAATCTTCTGTGTTGGGTATGTATTTTCAATGTTTACCACTTCAGAATCACAGGTGGATGTGTTGGTTAACATGTGCAGCCACTAAAAATAAAATATTTGTCAGAACTATAGGAGAAATTGTGAAACGTCTTACTTAGATTAACTTTAAAAATAGGAGTGACCACCCTGTGCTTGGGATGGTGTAAATAGTCATTAGGTAATGTAAGCGATCAGTCTCTTTCCATTTAGACCTTTTCCTGTCATTCTTAAAAACACTATAGCCACATGGGGGCACACTTACCTCATGTGTTTTCCACTAAATGTTGCAAACAGAATAAATTTAGATTACCAATAACTAATAAATCAAGTAACAAAATCCTAGTAAGAACCATAGTACTTTGAACTCAGTAATACAGGATAATCTTCTATCATATTATGCACAATTTTAGTAAAATTTGTGAATAAAAAACTATTGATAAAACTCCAAATTTGTTTAGTCTTAGATATTTAGTCTTTTGTCATGAACTTTGTATTTTTTTGTCATTTTCCAACTTTTAAACCTATGAAACCATTAATATTTTAGTGTCTTTTCCACTAATGTGTATTGTATCTAAAAGTCCTGATTTGTTTACAGTAAAAGGCAGAAGAGAAATAATTTGATGTCTGACAACTGTGTTTTGTGAATGGTAATCAACTGGCTGCTTATTATTGTGAATCTTTTTAGTAAATCAAAGTAAAATTCCATTCTACTATAACATTAACCATTCCATCATTCTGTTTATTACAACTTATTCCAAAGCCACCATTCATTCCACCAAATTAAGACGAAAATGAGTTCTCTCTGACATGTTTGCTATTACCAGCACTACTGCTGCCGACTCATTTTTCATTAACAATAGCATTAATTTTGATTTTCAACCACGTTTGTCATATCAGTTAAGAAATAGGTTAAAGAAAAAGGAAATAAAAAGATCCTAATTTACTGCTCAGGGACAATAATGGCCCTCTAATAATTACAACTTTCAGATAAAGAATAATAGATGAGACATACAAACAAAGCAATTACTTGAAAGACATTAGTATTTTCTAAACTGGTAACCAAATCTAGCATTACTTTTTAGTATATTGTGAACTTTCTTTTTTTATAAAGAAAAATGGTCAAATATAGTATCAAAATTCATGAAACACTTTAATATAGTAAAAGGCATACATCAGGAAAAGTCTACATGATTACACTTACTGGTGGCTTAAGAAAGTTTAAAATAATAATGCAGAATGCCAAAGAAAAGGTGATCTAGGCTATGTTTATCATATCCAATTGAAATCTTAATCTTACTGCATTTTAAAATATTGATATATATATTTCCATAGTGCAATTAATGTGAGATAATTTACCAGCAATGCAACTATTTCCCATGAAGTGAAGGTTAAATTATTCCTCACAGTGGGTCCACAGAAGTTTAATCTGTACTATACTCAAGAAAAAAAATCACTTTTTATACACATATATGGTTTGCTCCCACACAACACTGTTCATAAGGTAGCATCATTATCTACATCTTTTGAAAAAAGATAAGAGAATTATAAAAATATATAAGCCATATATATTACATCAAAAAGGCTCATTCCTTTTTCAGAATTCTATTCTTTTATAAATATAAAAAAGTCATTCTTCAAAATATTAAGGAATAGCTATAAAAAAGGGATCGAAGAAAGTGGAAGTTGTATTTTTTATCACTATGCCTAGATAGCTTTATTAAAATTGAGAGTCCAACAGCAAATAATTAATGAGGTATTTCATTATGGATCAGTGGTACGAAGTTCTGAATTACATTTTCCCTTTGTAACAGATGACAAGGTCATCCACAGGTTCTGAGGCACTGCTCAGGGTAATGAGTTTAATACCCGCTTCCAGCACCAACACATCCCCATGAGAAGATGAACAATTGTTAAAGTATTTTCCTTATGTCTGAATGAACAGAAGATTAAACAATCACCTCAGACCAATGTAGATTGGACTTTCGAGTTGGCATTGTCTTTTGAAAACTGATACCAGAGGATTGTCTTAATTGAAATAAACAAAACAAAAATAGGAAGAGGATATATAAAGAATTTTAAAGTGATATTTAGGGGCCTCCCAGGTGGCGCAGCGGTTGAGTGCTGGACTGCGAAGCTGCCCGCAGCCTCTGCAGCGCCGGTTCGATCCCCGGCCACCAGGCGAGGGTCCCA